CATATATACATAAAATATTTTAATGTTACGGAAATTAAAAATATTTTAATCTTAAAGACAAAGCGTTATTTGATTGGATCGAAATCCATCTATGAATAATGGATTTTGCTTGAAATTTTCAAAAAATTATTTCGAAAATGGTGATCATACATGTACACGACAAAGGTGATTAACAATTTTATTTTTTTAATATCAGCGTAATGCGGATTTTCATATATTTCCAAATTTTAAAAAGCACAGTTAAAAAAACTGAATCAAAATTGAAATATTCTATTTTGAATATTTCATATATCTTTTCATATTACACGTTTTCTATAAAACCATAAACATCCGCTGTCCAGATATTGCTTTTTGTACGAATCATCAGGATCGTTCATATGAAAATAAAAATATTTGAAAAAGTGTATTAATTCGAAATGATTGAAAATGGCGTGTTATTAACTTTTAAAATATTAACAAATCTGAAACTATCACGATACGTAGGAAAAAATAATTCTAGGAAAAAGATAGAAATGAAATGAAATACAATATCGAAAACACATTGAAATTGAATAAAACAAAAGTAATTGAATAAAAGTACTAAGTAATTGAATATATACAATTTAAAGTTTAAATTATATATATATTAAAATACATTTAATATATTTAAATATTGTATTTTGAATTTTTTAAATTTTGGATATATTAGTATTATATATATATTATTTATAAATACCAAAATCCTGAAAAGTCACAATATTTTTATACATCATACTAAAATTTTAAAAAGTGGTAAATAAATAATGATTAATAGTAGATAACAAATAATAATAATTAGTAGTATAGAACGCTTAGTTATCGGACTTCGTTGTCTGATCAATTTCGGTCTAATATTACTTGAAACGACCGCGCTTTATTTTCTGAAGTCATTCCTAATTTAATAAAGTTCAGTCGTACTGCCCATCAAAGAACTGGAGAATTTCATTAGAATTTCAAAAGAAACAACGACGTTCTTAATTAAATAAATATTTATATCTATTATTCTTTTATATAAACTGTAATTCTATTGTCTGATGCAAGAATGACTTCAACAGTGACAAAAATCGACTATATTTAGAAGTTAAATATTTTTTATAGGTAGTCAAGATATTGCAATATTCAAATTTATAATATTAAATACAATATTAAAAAATTAAAACTGGTTGGCATAGAATACTAATATTTTTAATAATTTAATATTTTATTTTTGTTTTATTCGAAAAAGTCTTTTTTGCATCTAACAATATAATTGATTATATTTAAAAATGAAAAGTGTCATTATAATATTTTTATTATTCTTAAAAACTGTACGAACAATTTATGTTTTGTTCAAATTTTTAAGACATTTATATTACAATTAATTTATCTATAAAATCATTTTTAACGAAATACATCAAGTGAAATAAAATATCATTCTGAAATATAATGTAAATTTTCATGAAAAAGAAGGGAAATAAATAGGTAATAATACGCATAAATGAAAAATATCAACTTTTTACTTATAATCAAGCCTAGACAATACATATATTTAAGGAAGAGACATTATTTGAAATAACTACACATTCGTTTATTTAAACATGAAAATGTTTTATCTCTACGTTGTTTTACTATTTTCTATCAAACGAAATAACTTTTCATTTTATGCTTTTGCTCCGTATTTAAATAAATTTTTTAAATAATTTCTTAAACGCTTTCTAAATTGATCCTCGTATCTCAACATTACATACAGACTTCAGATGATCTTACGTCAAATTATTTGTTATTTTATTGAAATAATCAAATGAAAAAAATTATTTAGAAATTTGTTTGATCTTTATTTTTATTTATTTGCTATTTATTTGAATCTCACACTAAACGAAGCTAATTTCTCTAAATTAAAAATAATAATATTTGAAGCAATATATTGTATCAAATCGTTATTTTTATTACGTCCAAATATAACATGATTCACGGTAATCATATATTCTGTAAATCTAAATCTCCCTGTATAAATTGAATTTGTTGAAGCTCGATAATCAATGTTTTATTAAAAGTTTTAGCACTCGACTGATAGCACGCGATCTGGTTTGATGCAATTAAAATGTAAACACGGAGACAGATGTGCCTGTTTCATCGCCAACTTGCTTATTGATTGCAGTTTCAACAAATTGCGATTGCAAAAGGAAGAGCTCGAGCAAAAGCATCTACACCTGTTGCAGATTGTTGAGAGCGAGAAGACAGCTAAGTGGCAGTATACACAGCAATGCGAGGAGCTCATGTCAGAAATAAAGAAGCTCCGAGCAGAAGTAAGTTGAGAATTAGATTCGACGAATCTTTACGTAAGGAAATTGGAGTTAACATTATTTAAGCTAGCAGGTAATTTCAAAAAATTATTTTTCAAATACTCTTCGTGACATTGAGACCGATTAAATGTTCGTTTCATAAAATTTACATAAATTTTTGATCATTCAAGCTCGATGCATGTGAATAACTTTTGTTGTTGCGATCTCGAATTGATAAGTTTATATAGTTGCTGGCTATTAAATGATGATCATTCGAATTCATGTTTTTAATAAAATTGAAAGATCTGATATATTTCGTTAATTATTAAAGTTAAGGTAAAAAGTCATTCTTAGTTTTTAACAATTTACATTTTTGGGGGAAAAATTGTTTGGTTTTAAACATAATTTAATAATATATTTTATTAATTATTAAACTTGAGATTTAGGTTACATTTAAAATTAGGCCACTATCAATTTTCAATAATTTACATGTCTGGTAAAATTGAAGGATCTGAACATAGTTTGATAGTAAATTTTATTAACTACTCAAGCTCAAATTAAAATTAAGTCATTCTTCATTTTCAACAATTTAAATATTCTTAATGATAGACATTTCTAAATCATGACGATTCAAAAATGACGGTTTTAAACCTAATTGAAACAGATTACTGTCTGAAAATCATCGCAATTACGAAACGATGATCATGCTCGGTTGAATAAACCACTTATATACTATTTTTGCACTATTTTTACTTGAACTCAAAGTTCGTATCGACGACAAAAACTACATCACCAAAATGATAAGAGTAAATTCAATGTTTAACATTTGAAAAAATATTGAATGCGTCTTTTATATATAATAAATGAAATAACGATATATTTTCTAATTAATTCTTCATTGATAACTCGTATAACATTTTATTAAATTTTTGTACCATTAAATGATTTTTGTCATATTGTATTACACACATAAGATAGAGGAAAGATTTTCTAATAATTAGAGCAGAGCTTTTTCAATTATCTTAATATTTGAATGTTATAACTCGACTGCAGATGTTTATGCAAATTTATATTTTTGTAGACATATTTAAAGAAGTGGAATCTAAATTGAGACTTATTTTACCTTATTAAATATTATAACAAGCATTTTACTTTAAATACCTCACCTATTTTTGCAATTTATATTATACTTATATGCATTCTGAAGATATTGAAAATTTTATACAAATACATAACAGTCCGCAATCAAATATAATATTTGACTATTAAAATATTTAAAAAACAAATGTTTAGATAACCTCTATTGTATTGTGTTTTATGTGATAAACTGAAAAAAATAAGACGTCGTATTGCACAAAGCAGGAACGTGCAAACATTCTCGCGTTATTTTTCAGTGATTTACAAATGTTCATTCTATATGCCCTTTTGAGTATCCTGAGAAATTATTGTTACACTGAATTGATTAAGTAGATTGCAAATTTTTATATAAATTCATATTTTTATGAAAATAATTTAAAAGGTAGGATCTAAGCAAAAATTTGTTTTAATTATTAAATATCATAACAGATTTATTTTAATTATTAAATATTATAATAGATAACGTTTTGGATATTTTTATTAAGCGTATTCAATAAATTTTCACACTTCTAAATTCTCTATAAATACATAAAAATTCTCAGTCCAGATATAATCGTTTATATGAAATGCTTTTAACTTTTACCGCATTTTTCACAGGAATTGAGTCGTTCACGTTTAATCTTTTTTACTGTCCCAGGCTTTCAAGAGAAGCGAAAAAATTTCGGTTTATTTTCATTCTAACTCTGCACCGTCTTTTCAGTCCCATTTTCGACCCACTTACATTTCTCAAAAGCTACAACATCTCTCCATCAAATGTTATCGTATTTTTAAAATATTATAAATCTTTTTCATTTGCTAAACCGAGTATAAAATTGAAACACAAAAGCTCAAGCACCTCGGGATTAAATTTTCGAAAGATTCTTCAGAGGAAGAAAGATAAAATTTACTTCGAAAAATTCACGAACAAAATTCCGCTCAGGACGTAAACGACCTATGAAGGATTAAGTATCATCAGGGTATAAATAATTTTCATTGAAGTTCGTTTTTGTATTTAAGTAAAATTTTACCAACTTGATCAACAAAGGAACATTAATCCTCGAATTCTTTTGCATTCCATGATTCATTTTTTTTTTTCTTTCTTTTCAGTTGTGTGCCTTGAAAAAGGAGTTGAGGCCTGCAGCTTCGTCATACACAAGCAAGCCGAAAGTTCAAAGGACCATGTCCCAAGGTACTGGCAGTTTATACATGTCAGGATCTCTTTTTGGGTCCGATGAACACGATTCGGTAGTTACGTCGTTTGGACTACGAAATATTACCGAGACCGAGATGCAGAAAATTAAAAAGGTTCAAAGCTTCTTGAGAGGATGGCTGTGCCGCAGGCGCTGGAAACAGATCGTCGAGCAATACATTAAAAGCCCTCATGCTGAGAGTATGCGCAAGCGGAACAGGTAGGAATTACTTCCTCTGTTTATTCAAATTTTAGCTGATAACCACTCGTAACGTTAAGTGCGATCAATTAGTTAAAATAATAACGATGCTAGATATTCTAGAGCACGGAGTATTATGACCAGATTGCGGATATTGTACATATACGAAATTTTAAAGAATGAAAATTAATATATATCTGTTATTTCAGATTTCAAATATTTAAAGGGGAAAAAAAAAAGAATTTTTAACAATTTATAGATAATTAATTCATTTAGGTTAAATATTTGTAAATTTTTAAGAAATGATGACGTTTTTTATAATTGTTTAGAAATCTACTATACAATTATTTAAATATTTCCTTCCTATTGTTAGAATTGTAATCAAAATTAATTTTTTTTTAAATTCATTATTTAAAATGGCATCAACCTCTTGTATGGGTTATTAGCGACTTGAAACTAAGTCTTGCAATTTATTATATAAGTTAGACTATTTTAGGTGTATCGTGATTGTTTTAGGATCAATTCTTTATCCGTTAGGTTGTAATTCAGAAAGGGACTTATATTCAGTTGATGTCTATTTGCGATGCATTTTCTGCATTGGACAATATGTTCCATTGTTAGTGTAGCTTTGCACAAATCATGAATTGGAGAATACTGGTAAGTGAGTTCTGTATGATCCTTGAGATTACAACTTGGTTGTATCTTGCTAAAAAAAACGAGCAATTGTCTTCTTAAAAAATACATTTTTAATTGATGTTAGCCACATGTTAGTTTACATGAAGATTTCCAGTTTCCTTTGATTTTC